ACAAAATTAATATACCCTTGTGCACAAGTGCGCTCGGGTATAAAAATCAAAACAAAAACAAGTTTTGGTAGAAATGGTGTGGAACTTTTGAAAATCATTACATTTTTTGAGGTTTTTAAAGGTTCTATAAAAAATAGTTAATAATAGAAAATGGTTAAATAAACAATCGGGTATTATTACTAGGAGTCTCCTGAAGCCAAACAAAGCTTTCCGATCGAAAATTATTGATTTTCTCGAATTCTATACCATTTCGGCTTAAACTGGTTTTTCCCATATAAAATACTTGGAAAACTTTGAGTGACCTCTAAAATTTTTTTTTTGTTTAAAATGATCATATAGAACAATCCTAAGGGGCATTAAAATTCCGACTTAACATGCATTTTTGGACCGCCCTTATGCACATACACCCACTCAGCAGTCGCAAGTCTCGAGTGATACCTCAGACCAAAAAAACCGTGGCCTATGTGCCTATTGCAATCGAAAGTTAATTGTCGTCTCCATAATCCATATTTGACCCGTCTGAATTTTATGTAATTTGCAAATCTATGAATTTAAACTCAAGTTAAGAGAACTCCTTTGGTCATATTTTGTCGTTGTTATATTATGACTGGGAATTTTCTGCCCAATCGGATTTCCAACAGAGATTCCTTGTGCTTCTTCTAGTAAATATTATCATCCGATTTTCGAAAATTGAAGAGCAGGTTATCGTAGAAACGTGTGTCTTATCTCAATAGAAAACCAAAGTTAGTATTAATAAAAATGTTTCTCCTTGAATCTTAAAAATAAAGGAGCTATTAGCTAAACATTTTTTTACTCTGGCAAAGAACCGTGTGGTGAGCAAAATATGAGTATTTATTAAAAAAAAAGCTAACTTCGTAATAAATTTTCTGGAGATATGTATGTACCTCTAAAGGATTATATTAATTCCAATAGTCTTATTTGGAAAATAGGATGCTTCTAACTTTTCGGTTGTTCTTAGCGGAAAATAAAAGGTCCAAAATGTCGATATGTCGGTATGTCTATTACAGACAAATTACATGAAGTTAAGCTAAAAATAGTCGGCCGCTGTGGTGTAGTGGTAAGCAGTGCGCGCTTCCACTCCGCAGCACCAGGGTTCAAACCCTGGTCAAAGCAACATCGCAAAAATATAGAAAAAAAGTTTTTTTCTTAACAGCGGCAATGGCAAACCTACGAGTGCATTTCTGCCATGAAAAACAGCTTCTCATAAAAATACAATCGCCGTTCGGAGTCGGCGTAAAACTGTAGGTCCCTCCGCTTTGTGTGACAACATCAAGGCGCACGCCACAAGTCGGAGGAGAAGCTCGGCCAAACACTAACATATGTGTAAGCGCCAATCTATTATTATTATTATTATTATTAAGCTAAAAATAATGGTTTGTCATTAAACAATACTAAAAAACACTTTCGCTTTTAACACAAATTCAATCAAATATTTATTGAAAACGACCATCACAGAAAGAAATAAAGAAAGGAAAGCCTTATTTATTATTGCGTACTGGGTGGCGCCGAATGAGCTATGTATATGGTTTGAATTCTTTATAAAAGTTTTTTTTTTACTCTATGCCAACGGGATCCACGCCTCGAAATGACCTCCCAGCAGCATTGCCGAATGCTTTTGCTGAAAAATCGTCATTTTACCTAGAAAAAATCGTAATTTCAGGATATCATTTTTCAAAGCTAATTGTAAAAAATTCCCCAATAATATACTGTATTAAAAAAAAATAATAATTATAATAATCGCATAAATAAAAAAATTATGAACCATTTACACCATATAGCTCATTCGGCGCCACCCTGTATAGCTTAATAAAGCTGTGCTTGCTTAAATTGTGTTATTCTGCAGTTAACTAGTTGACACATGAACCTATACGGAGCTTTCTTTAAGCTTATGATCATCAGAATAAAAAGTTCGTAACATAGCTTTTTCGTATGCAATAACTTAATGGTCATTGTCATTGGATACATACTTTGACAAAAAGCTTAATATTATGTTAAATTTAAACTGATTTATTGATTAGGGCTGTTCAACTTCACTAGAACTCTGTACTAGACTCTGTACAGTCGACTTTAAAGGTCGACCGATCCACGAAGAAAAGTCGACTTTTTTCGATTTTTTTAACCAAAAAAAAAAATGTATTAAGTATACTCTGCGTTCAACTCATATATATGATATAAATATGAGGGTCAGAATACGCCAAAAATATCATGATTTACTTGTGGCCTTTAGAATAATCTGTAATTTAGTGAAATTCAATGCTAGGTAAAAAACAAACACACACTAACGGATTTTTTAAAATTTTGAAACCTGTTCCAGTTATACAGCATGAAAATGTTGGAATATAATTAAAAATTAAAATTTTTTAAATTTCTCGAATCGATATTTGGTAATTACGGACAACTTTTTGAAAAATGTTGCCTTTCCGATGGAACAGAGGTGACGAGTATTGGTAGATATGGGATATTCTCCCTTAGCCCAGTAGCCCAGACAGCTAGTGGATTGGGATTATCCACACGACTAATGTCGCATATCAACTGGAATTCTACCAGCAACATTTTTATCGATGTTTAAAATATTGTACCTTACGGATTGGTCAAATTTGAACCAAAGACTGTATGTAGAAACTTACATAAATTCAGGGAGTAAAACTCTCTTGCATGAAATTGTTAAAATAAATACTTATGTATATCTTACCTCATTATTAACTGAAAATGTGGACTGTCGAAGTCGACTTGGCCATCCCTATTATTCATGCGTTAAGAGAGAGACCATTAAGAGGTTTTGAGCAAACTTCTAAACAATTTTTCTTTTTTTTTAGCGCCAAACAGAAAGAATAGTTCTATGTTAATGAAATTTTGTAAACTAAAAAAATAATCGGCTTTACTTTAATGGAGACTGTATGTAGCATTGCTATCTATTTAGCATCACAAGTAAAGAGTTCCATATATAGATATGTATGTACATACATTTATTACGGCATATATACTAAACATACATCAATACAAATATAATTCCATGAGGTACATTCAAGTAACCTAATTCGTTTATATTATCACAATTTAAAAATACAAAAGATTTAATCAATAGATATAATTTTACCATAAACAGCTAAATATAAATACAATACCATTAATTTTATAAGCATTTTATATTTTCCTGCAATATTTTACTTAAATTTTGTCATCTCGAATTTTACGCGCCGTTACATAGGGTTGAAAGCCATTCTTGTTAGCCTTATAGAGTACAGTGTACTCATAGCCATCGGCAGAGATGAAACTATAGCCACCACGATACTCCACAGGTTTCGCAGGTTTCGCAGTTGTCACTGCATTCAGCTCATTGTCATCAGCCTTTTCAGTATTAACCTCATGTATTGTGTTATTGTATGTTATATCCTCTGTACGCGATTGACCATTCTCCGTTTTGAAACTGTCGAGACAAAAAAAAATAAAAAATTTGTAAATTTATTTGTTTTTTCTACATTTAATCTAGATATTTTAATGTGAATAATAAGCTACTTTTTTCAATGTTAAATAAATTATACCAACAAATGTAAAACAGTTAAATCGTTCAGCCAGCTACTTAGAAGCATGTGTAAAATTACAGTTAGGTGTTAGGTGGAGACAAAACGAGCACATGTTTGCCAACAAAATGATATCATAGCCCAAATATAAACAAATATTTTTAAATATGAATTAAGCAGGGCGAAAACAATTTGCATATATGTACCTACCCAGCCATTTTACATGATAAGAAAGAACACGAAAGTATGTACGACTTTCTTTTTTGCCTTCGTTCTTTGACTCACCCGAAATGCAGCAGCTGCTCACCATTGTCACTGCTTTCTATGACCATCGCTTGTATGTATTGCACGCATAAAATTATGGCTAAGCTGTAAAACTGTATAAAAAATTGTGGATATTAATAATTTAAACTTTAGTACATCTAATAAAAGCAAATGTTAGTAAGTATTAAATAATTTAGTTATCTATATATATAAGACGCGAAAGTATTTTTTTGTTCAGGATAAAAGATCTGCAACGTTCACTTGATTTTCAAAACTGAGGCGTAGATGTGCAAACTGGTTTTATTTTGTTGAAAAATAAATTCAAATTTTTTTTAAATCAATGCCATCATATCCGCACCGTTCGTTCGATTTTCAAAAATGAGGTGTCAAAATAAAAGTCGTGGACTGTATGTGCAGTAAGGTTTAACTTTTTCGATAAGAGTTGCTACATTTAAAAACTTATACTCAAATTAATAAAAAGAATAAATCAATTATTAAAAAATGGATATCAACCGAAATGGTTTTGAAAAGCTTTGTTTCTTAGCTGAACTATAGGAGAGTTGCCACCTGTTTAAAAAATCATATGAGGTAAGAAAAATATGTATCACCATATGGATACCAAACGAAAGGGGATTCAGAAAGTAGTAGTTTGAAAATATTTGGAAGAGGGTTGCCACCTGCTTGAAATATCGAATTTAGTTTACTTATACACAAGTGATATGAAACATCAAAATATGGGTGTCAAACGAAGAAGTGTTAAGAAATATTTAGTTTGAACGGCGGAATATTTTTGAGGTGTTGAAAGAGGGTTGCCCCCTGATTAAAAAGTTAAATTCAAATAATTTAATAAGTTTAATGAATTATTAAAATATGGGTATCAGTCGAAGGGGGTTTGAAAAACTTTTATTTCTGAACTATACTTATTGGGGTTGCCACATGTTTAAAAAATCAAATTTCATTAATTCATCAGTTAATTGAAATATGTATCGCAATGCCAGGCGAAGGAGAGTTAACAAGGATTAAGCGTGAAAATACTTTTCAAGAGGGTTGCCACCTGTTTGAAAGGTCTAACTCAATTAACTAATACAAAAGGTATATGAAACATAAAAATACCATAGTCAAACGAAAGAATATTAAGAACACCTTATGTATGTATATTAAACTGACAGCCGCTGTGACTGAGTGGTAAGACTTTGTAAGTTAAGCGACGTGCTAAGTTAGAAAACGTCTCCGAAGGCTCTTAAGAAACTAGAAAAACGGTCGAGTTTTTACCAGTAACTGGCACTCCTAGTATGAATGTATAATAGACTGAATAAACGTTCGCCTTCAACAAGAGCCACTGCAAAGTACAAAATTTCCATCACGATTCGTGTTACTTGTTTAACACTACATTGCATTTAATATCGTGTGAGTCGTAGGTATTAAGATCTGGAATCCTAAGCGATCCTGTAGAGCTCTATCTCTGCCTAGCCTTCGAGTGGTAAAATTCTTTACATCTGCTTTTGATTGCTCTGAGCGAGGCTCTTGTGCTCATCGCATGGTACACAGATTTGCGCAGAGCCATTCATCCCATGAATTGGAACTAAATTCTTTTTCACACTCCCTAAAGTAAGATATATATTTTTCGCACACTGAAACACTCACTTTCAAACAAAAATGTGACGGAATTCGCTGACATAATTGCCTCATAACAGTGTATGTATTTTTAAAGTGCTTGTACGAATATTTATGTATTGTACAGTGTATTGACCTTAATCAAAGCAGTTCGTTTTGCCACATATCACATCACCAAAAAATAAATAAGCATGGTTATTGAGCTTTAATGTGGAGTTCTCATACGGAACACAGTCAGTCGAGCTTTCTGTGTAAATATTTGTATAAGTGTCGGCTATGTCCTTTTAGGATAAAAAAAATTCAGAAATTGGCATTCTACGAATGGAATCGAAAAACTTTTAATTTTTTTCTGATGAAGTTGCCAGTTAGGTCTACGTGAACTTGGCGCGAAAACTATCTTGTTTCATTGCAATGCTTCCTCGGATTACTCATCACAGAATAAATTATTTTATTCATCACTTCCTATATTCAAATGTCTGAAACAAGTTCGAGATAAACGTTTTGGTCCAACTGCGACAGAAAAGTTATGGAATGATT